CCCTACAACCCTCAGTCCTTAACCTCTGCCCCCTCTGCCCAGATGTCTCCTCCCATCCCCTTTCCCAAGGATTCGCTGCCTTCGCTATAAAAATAATCACATTTCACCGCCATCAATCCCTCTGGGTTCTTACCAACTTTGAAGGAAGACTCAGGAGTCCACAGCTGTACCACCCCTGAGCCGAGTCCCTAAGGCTCTACTAAGTGGGATAAGGGGCTCCACCTCACCTCAGTCTCTGAGAGCCGAAATACTGCCGCCAGGTGCCACCAAGTCTACACAACCGTGCAACTGAAGGGGACCTGACGACCCACCTCTTTACCCATCTAGGGCACAAAGTGGACAAGAAATCAAGGAGCAAAACATACACCCAGGTGCTTGACTCATTTTAACATGTTCGTGGGCGCCCCAAAAGTACATGCCTTTCCACCACTTGAGTTCCAAACCAACTGACAGGCAGGCGAGACAGATGGGCACCAAAATACCAGCTTTCTTCCTGGTAAAAGCTGGATGTGTGCCAAAAAAACATTCCTCAGTCTGAACCCCGAAACTGGGCTTAGCCTCAAGGTCTCAGTCTGCTCCAATCAACCACACCCCCCACACTCCAGGCCGCTGGCCCTGTGCCCTGGAGCTGGGAGGAGCACAGAGCCCTGGCCTCTCCAGCAGGATGAGCCCAGGAGGCCAACAAGGAGTGGACCCACCCTCACAGAGCTCCCAGCCTGAGTCTCCCCAGGAAGAGGGGAGGGCAGGGGGACCCGGAGTCCTGCCGACTGAGGGGCCCCTCCTGGAAGGGGACGTTGGTGTGGGGCCTGAGGGTTCCCCCTTAGTTCCCTGGTGCCCCCTCCTCTCCGTTTCTGCGTCCACAGAGGCGCCGGGTCTTTGTCCTCCGGCCCAGTGGCTGCTGTTGCTGCTGCTCCTTCCTCCTGCCTGTGAATTCTCAGGTCCCTCTGCTTTGTCTCAGGGACAAACTCTGTCCCCACAGGGTCTCCCAGGCTGGACACTCAGCCCACCACTGACATCCGAATGGAAGCTGCTCCTGGGGAGGCTAAGGGAGCCTGTCCCCTTGGCACGTCCTCTGCCCCCTGCCCCTCCTCGGTCGCTGCCTCTGTGCTCTCCAGGTTTCCCGGCCCCCTGGCTCAGGCTACTTCCCTGTTTTTGGTGTCTTTGCACAAACAAGGAGACCCCTGGGGGCTGGTCCTGCTCCTCGCTGGGGTCCTCCAGGTCCTGTCTGTCCCTCTTTGTCCTCCATTCCTGCTGCCACTTGTCCTGATGGCTGAGAACCACGCTGGGGCTGCAGGAGGAGGAGACATTGTCTGAGAACACTGGGTATTTATTTTCACTTTCATTTTCCCCACTTGGGTGGAGCCGACTCAGGGCAGCCTCACCCACTTCCTGCTCAGCGCTGGGCAGCCACACTGGTCCCAGGCTGGGGGCACCAGGGGCATCGAAGTCCAGGCTCCAGGCCCAGGCAGTGCCCAGGGCAGGACGATGGCCAGTGGGGGCAACAACTTCAGCGCCAGGTCAGTCTCCGCCTCCCTTTCTTTAACTTTCTCTCAGGCTGTGCCACCGCTTTAGTCTCCGCCACTAGACACTCGTCTAAGCGTTGACCTCAGTCGTGTGCTGCGGGACACTCTCCTGCAATGTGAGAAAGTGCAGGAAACTGCAGAGAGGAAATCAGATCTCTCGAAGGCAGAGGGACATCTGCTGGTGTGAGTGCAGCTGCCACGACCCACAGGGCTCCTGTCTTGCAGCCACCGCTCAGCTGGCAGCCATCTGGGCTCCTCTGTCTGTCCTTCCTGATGCTTTCAGGCAGTGACTTGTTATTTTCTCATGACCTCTGAACCCTCTTGTTTCCCTCGGGCCCCTCTGAGTTCACCTAGGTCATTCCAACCAGGGCACTTTGAAAATATAAAATTCAGGGAGAACATGTGGCCTTTCAAATCTGGGCGCCTCGGTCTGGTACCTGACCTGGGCCCGCGCTGGCCCTTCCTGCAGGACTGAGCTGAGGGAGGAAGAGGAGGGAGGGAGGAAGAGGAGGGAGGGAGGGAGGCCAGCGCAGCGCAGGCTGAGCCCCACCTGGGCTCTGACTTCCTGCTCTGCAGCGGGTTGTACTCGACACGGAAAAGGCCAGAAGTCCTTCCTTTTCTCTAGGAAGGGGTCAGAAATAACATGACTTAATATGTTTAACTTTTTTAATACAAAAGAATTACATTTTACATTCTTGTTCATGAAGTTTCAAACGAGGGAAAAAGTCCCCCTCACTTCCCACCCCCCTGACGGTCTCAGTCCTGGCCCTGTCCAGTGTTGAGAGCATATCCCTTTCTCTGCATTTACACATATAACTTATTTTCCTAAATATATAATTTCTGTCTTGTTTTTTAACAAAGGGGATTATATTATATATGCTCTTTTGCATTTTTACTTATTTTAGTAGCGAAAATAGATCTTTTCACTTTAATGAACATCTAGATCTCCCTCGTTCTTTTTAACAGCTGCATACTACTCCATGCCATGATTTTTTTAAACCCTTCTCTTCCATTGACAGACACTTAGATCATTTCAGCAAGCTGTGATAACAATCATGCATGTCTCTCTTTTTTGCCTATATACATGAATTTGTCTTGTGTCAATAACCAAAAAATCAAATTGTGAGGCAAAGAGTACTCATACTTATTCGTTTATGGATTCTGCCAAACTGCCCTTCTAAGTAGCTAAACTGATATATTCTTTTAACAATAGCAAATGAAATGACTCATCTCCCAATGCTCAGTTTCAAAAAAGTGCTATATAAAGGGATGCATTTAGTTAATTTGCATTTCCTGATGACACGGGACATTGAACCGTGTTCTGTGTTTATTAACCATTTAAATTACCTCTTTGGTGAGTTGCTGCCTTATTTATTACCAATGTTATCAGTTGAGGTGACTGTCCTTTCTTTGATAATAAGGGAGAGTTTGCTAAATATTCTGAAAGCTATAAATTCACTCTCATTTTCTTTACTTTGTTTATGGTGACTTCTACTTATTAAAGTTTTAAATTTGAAGTATAGACTTATTATAGTATTGATTTTATAAGATAGATGCACCCTGGTTATTATGAATAAATTAAAATGATGAGGAAAGTGAATTCCATGTACACTGCCTTTAACCATAGTACTCACATTCTTAAGGTGGCAGATTCAGTTCCACCTTCACTTCAAGGAGTTTCTTCTCTAGTATCTTCAAAACATATTCTTTTTAAAAATATGTATGTTTTTATTGATTTTTTTAGAGAGAGGAAGGGAGAGGGAGCGAGAGATAGAAACATTGAGGTGAGGGAAACATCGATTGGGTGCCTCCTGCACACCCCTTACGGGAATAGAGCCAGGAATCTGGGCATGTGCCTGACGGAATCGGGGAATCGAAATAGCTACCTTTTGATGCCTGGGACAACACCCAACCAACTGAGTTACACCTGCTGGGCTAACATATTCTTTTTTAATTTGGGGACAACACCATTCTTCTATTGGTGCAACTTAGCCTGCACAGCTTTATCTGTCCCTAATAAATCATCTCTTTAGTTTTTTACTTTCTGTTCATAATGGTTGTCTCAAACCTTTCTTCTATAATAATTATTTAATTTTTAATAGTTATTTGCTTTCTTGTTATTTCTATTTTTTTTTTTAAGTTGATTGTGTTTATTTTGAGCAGGTGTCTTAATTTCCTACAACAGCTCTGCAAGCTCCCTTGTAGGTAACTAACTGCTTTTCTCTTGCTGCTTTTAAGATTCTCTCTTAGTCTTTAACCTTTGGCATTTTAATTATGATGTGTCTTGCTGTGGCCTCTTTGGGTTCCTCTTGTTTGGGACCCTCCGTGCTTCCTAGACTTGTAAGTCTATTTCTTTCCCCAGGGAGGGGAAGTTTTCTGTCATTATTTTTTCAAATAGGTTTTCAATTTCTTGCTCTCCTCTCCTCCTGGCACCCCAATAATACGAATGTTGGGCCTCTTGAAGTTGTCCCAGAGGCTCCTTATACTATCTTCATATTTCTGGGTTCTTTTTTTCTTTTTGCTCTTCTGGTTGGGTGTTTTTGTTTCCTCATGTTCCAAATTGCTGATTTGATTCTCAGCGTCCTCTACTCTACTGTTGACTCCCTGTAAATTATTCTTCATTTCAGTTCATGCAGCCTTCATTTCAAATTGGTACTTTATTATGTCTTCTATTTTTCTGTTATTTTCATCATACTCTTACTAATATGCTTGAGAACCCTTATAAACAGAATTCTGAACTCTGTTAGCTTGCTTGTTTCTATTTCACTTAGTTCCTCTTCTAGAGATTTCTTCTGTCCTTTCCTTTGTGACATGTTTCTTTGCCTCCGCATTTTGGCTGCTTCCAGGTGTTTGTTTCTATGTATTAGGTAGAGCTGCTATGTCTCCTGGAATTCATAGAGTGGCTTTGTGTATTAGGTGTCCTGTAGGGTCCTGTGGCTCAGCCTCCCCAGTCACCTGAGCTGGGCCTTCTAGGTGCTCCCCTGTGTGGGCTGTGTGCACTGTCCTGTTGTAGTTGAGCCTTGGTTGCTGTTGGTGTCACTGGGAGGAACTGACCCACCAGGCCAATTGGCTGTGAGGACCAGCTGCAGCTACAGCCAAAGAGCTGCTGTGCTGGAGACACCTCTATGGAGCAGGATTTACTTCAGTGGGGCTTTGGTGTTCACCAAGTGCGCCCCTTGAGTGTCACTCGTGGATGTGGTAGGGTTGTAATCCAGCGTGGTCGAGTCTGACCACCAGGTGCACTGTCTCTGGGGCCTCCCGGGAGGTGCAAAGTCAGCCTGTGCCAGTGCCTTGCCCAGGGCCACCCAGCATGAGCTACACAGCAAACCGTAGTTGGCTGCTACTTGTGCTGGGCTTGGAGGTGCCCAGGAGAGGCCAAGCTATGAGCCAATGCAGCTGCCGCTAGTGCCAGGCCTGGGGCCGCTTATCAAGCCGTATGGGGCCCGCTGCTGCTTGTTTGAGAGATTTTAGGAAAGTCCTAAGCATGAGGCTCGAGAGGCCACTTGCACAGAAAAGCCCCTGGAAATGGCCTGGATGAGCTGCAGGTGGGGAGGGGCGGGGCCTCCGGGAATCATGGGGCGGGGCCAAGGGCGTGAGTCAGGTGCTGGTGACTTAAACATGGCACCTGCCTGCCGGCTGTGTGCCGGGAGGACTCTCCAAAGGAGCCATGGCCTCCACCAGCCCTTCTGCCTGGGAGGAGNTTCATTTCAGTTCATGCAGCCTTCATTTCAAATTGGTACTTTATTATGTCTTCTATTTTTCTGTTATTTTCATCATACTCTTACTAATATGCTTGAGAACCCTTATAAACAGAATTCTGAACTCTGTTAGCTTGCTTGTTNTTCAGGCTGCTGCCCGGCGCTGGGCTCAGAGGGAGCGTCTGAGTGAGTCCCTGCCGGGCCCTTAAGAGGAGCTGCTGGGGCTCCCGCAGCCTCCGCGACCCTCAGGGACAGTCCCTGCTGGTTTCACAGCCCGAAGCTCTGGGGACATCTCTTCCCGGCCCTGAGCCCTGGGCTGGAGGCCTGATGTGGGGCTGGGACCCCTCCGGGAAACCCCCACCACCGAGATGCCCTCCCGGTTTCAACTGCGGCACCAGGCGTGGGCCCTCGGCCGCGTCTCTGCGATTCAGCTCCGATCCGCTCGCCCCTCCTGCCGGTCTCGGTGCTTCTTCAGGTCCCTGGTTGTGGGGCTTCTGTGCAGCCAGATCTCAGGAGGCTCTGAGTGACGGTGGTTCTATACTTTAGTTGTGATTTTTATGTGGTTGCGGGAGGCGGCTGGTGCAGCCGTTACCTGCGCCCCAGCTTGTTTCTCTCTTCCTGTCCCCCAGCTTTTTAATCCACTCATCTGCTGATGGGCACTTGGGCTGTTTCCAGGCCTTGGCTATTGTAAATAACACTGCAATGAACATAGGGGTGCATATATTTTAAACAGTATTTCGGGTTTCTTTGGATATATTCCCAGAAGTGGGATCACTGGGTAATAAGGCAGCCCCATTTTTAATTTTTTGAGGTAACTCCATATTGCTTCCCACAGTGGCTGCCCCAGTCTGCATTCCCACCAACAGTGCACCAGGGTTCCCCTTTCCCCACATCCTCACCAACACTTGTTGTTTATTGATTTATTGAAGGCAGCCATTCTGACAGGTGTGAGGTGATATCTCATTGTGGTTTTAATTTGTATTTCTCTGATAATTAGTGACAGTGAGTATCTATTAGCTTTCTAAATGTCCTCTTTGGAGAAGTGTCTATTCAGGTCCTTTGCCCATTTCTTAATTGGATTGTTTGTCATCCTCTTGATGAGTTGTATGAGTTCTTTGTACACTTTGGAGATTAGCCCCTTATCAGATACATCCTTGGCAAATATATTATCCCAGACCTTGGAGTTCCTTTGTATTTTGAGGCTGATTTCTTTTGTTGTGCAGAAGCTTTTTAGTTTGATGTAGTCCTGTTTGTTTGTTTATTTTTTCTTTTGTTTCTCTTGCCCTAGGAGATGTA